TGACCATGTGACACTTTAAAAGATACAGTACACTCGAAAAGTAAAACAAGGTGCATCGTGTTATTCGCCGCGCTCCCCACTTGTATATTTATTATTGTAAATTTACACGGTAGGTACATGTTATAGGAAATAGACTTAAAGACTATTGAGAATCCTTTTGAAAATTTTCTGACGAATATCGTGCGTGAATGGGAACGAAGAACACAAACTTTCCTTATTCTCAATCTTTTTTTCAAATTGTTATGTATCCGCCTAGATCCGCAAAGGCGACGCCCTTGAAATACCCGTGTGCGCCATCCACCGCGACCCAAAGTACTACCCAAACCCAGACAAGTTCGACCCTGAGAGGTTCTCTGAAGAGAACAAGCAAAAGATCCAACCCTTCACCTATTTGCCGTTTGGACTTGGACCTAGGAATTGTATCGGTGAGAATTTTCTCGTATCTCCTTCTTGCCATTTAGCCTCGTGGTTGTACAAATTTATCACGCCGCACCTCTGGTGTGATACAGCTTAATATCTACCTACCAGTATGCCTACTTCAGCATAAATGATTAAACCTCGTGTAGCATTCGGGCAACGCTACTCAATGCTCTATAGCGCAAATAGTCGCCATCAATACATTGAAGTGTATTATTAACTTTATCGGAACGAGTTTGAGCTAGAGCAACGAACATCGAGTATATAACCAGAAATAGAGGCGAAACGTCATTTAATTTGTTTGAAAACTTTTCTGCCGTATCATTACTGTGATAACTGCGCTCCGAATGGCTAGCCCGAATTCAAAACAATTGACGGGTGTCGTCAATGGGTGTCGTCAACTGTTTCACTTCAAACCGACCAGTTAACTTGAGCTTTGCTATAATAGACGAAAATTGCAAAATTACATATTTAATATTTAATTACCGATGAAATGTGACTCCGTTTGTTTTGTAATTAGATGTTTTGCTGTTTTTCCCATACCACCGAATTGAACAGCACAGCATTGTTAGAGATATTATCTTTATTATAATAAATACAGAATATTTTTTGTAATATATGGAGACGTACACACAGGTCAGTAGTTGGCCTGTCTGTATTTCAATGCAAACGAGGGTTAATATTTATAAGAGCTGTATCGCTAATGTGTTACCAGGATTATATGGCCCTCATTTCGTCTCTATTTCTGGTTATATACTCGATGGCAACGAATGACACCACATTTAACAATAAGACGTGAAAATACTTCAGGTAGGTATTATTAATATCTAAAGCACTGAACCATAAACGTTGTGTCTGCTTCTATATCATTCAATTCAAGCATTCTCATGTCCGAAAAGTTCTACCTTTGACAAGCACATTTTTCCCAATGGTAGTGGTTCGTCACCATCTTTGCTACACTGATCCTGAGGATTGGAAATACGTCTTCGATGAATGCAGGTTTCACTCCAGTTTTTGTTTTTAGCTTATTTATTAATAATCTTGGTAGTACAAGATTCGGAATGACATCCCGGTAAAACTCAAACTGATGTCACCTTCATGGCTAGCCAAGTAAGCAATCACTCTTGCCGTCGCCGTTAATTAGTATCATCAACCGGTATACGTACCACTAATGGACACGGATCCAAGGCCCTAAGTGTATAGGGCATGATTACTACTCTGGCCATTTTAGCTTCTTGGATTTGTGACTCGTAAATGATGATTTAGCCACTCACCAATGGAATATTATATCTTCGATCATAAATTAATTGGTGCTTATTTTTCAGGTTCAAGATTCGCCCTCTGCGAACTGAAAGTAATGACATATCAGCTCCTAAACTCCTTCGAAGTGTCGCCATGTAAGAGAACGCCTATAATTGCCAAATTGGAGCCTTCCTCGTTCAATAATCGATTAAAAGGGGGTCATTGGATGCGGTTTAGGACTCGGGTAGAACAATGATGGATGAATGAAGCAAATACGGTGTTGTTTTAGTTATGAGAGTTATTGTATTCTATAATAAATTTGACTTCATTTCAAAACCTGTGTTTTGTGTCTTCGGCATGAACACGTAATCATCCATAATCATGTTACTGCGTTAAGAACTGATGCACAACTGTTACGTTTTAATAAATTTTAACTATATGGATCTCTCTATGGTCACACCTAACTTCAACTCTGTTACCCATTATTGGTTCAGCTGTTGTATTGACTGCTTTAGTACCGCTTCACCGCTTTGGACCATCCTATCATAGTAGAATAAGGTCCAATGATTTTCACACCCAATTTCACAATATCACCTCCGCTAGAGTTTTTAAAAGGTAAGGACGGGCCACTCCGTCTTGATCCGATAGTGAACTTGGAAAATACCAGTGAATTTAATCTAAATATAAAGGAAGTGAAATCGGAGTTGGATTTTATACAGCGGCTACAAAACCGTATCTCTTAGATTCGACCATGGGTGTCAACGAAGCAATCAACAGCTCTAGATTAAAACTGAAATATTTTGGTTTTCTCTCCCCGAACTTAAATTTGCGCTTGCCAGAAACAAGAAAAAGTAACAATTTTTTTATGATACCAATTAGCAGAACGAGCAATTCGTGCGTCTGGTGATAAGCGACATGCCTGACTACAGCTGTTGCAGTACTACTAAGAGCTTTAAGTCGTAAAGATCTGAAGGACACTGCCACTGCGCTTGTCACCCTGAGAAATAGGTTGACAGAGGTTTAGGTGCCTGTAATTTCACCAGCACATTTAGGGTCAACACACACTGAAAGAGCAGCTCCTGAAGGAGCATTATTGGTGCAAATTATTACTTAGCATTTTGAATCTTATCTTTTAAAGAAACACGTTCAAATTGATTTGAAATGATAATGTATAGTGCGGCTGTGGGACAGCCGCGAGGCTGCGCGAGACTTGTAGCGACTAGTCCAAAGAGGCACCGTGCTAGCTCCACTGGCCGCAACGTGCCTCTGTTCTTTCAGTGTGACTTGACCCTTAGCCTTCAAAATATGAACGCAGTAAAGCTCACATTATTGCTTAGCGGCAGAAACAGGTAAGGAGGTACTTACTGTATTTCCCTGAACGAATTTGTTCACAAGGAGCCTACTTGACTCTCCCTCCAGGCTGGAGGGCCTACCCACTAAAACCCCCCCGGGTTTACCTCTCGCCGGTTGAGTCGGTGAATATTCACCACGACGAAGGAGCCTACTGCTACTAAAAATTTTCAAATATATTTCATAACAAACATTAAAATTTGTGATTTTGAATTTGCAAAATCATTGTGTACAACAAATGAGAATATTTTATAGTCATAATTGTATAGTCATTATTACCATGCTGGTATTTTAAGATAGACCAACTTTTTTATACAATTAGATTCAATTATTATGATAAGACTGTCATAATGTCTTTGCAATATAAAATAAACGTTACTAAAATATGGTATGGTTAATGAAATTGTTCCACGTGTTGGGACGAACAAGTTGTGCGCCACTCGGAGCTTTAATGACGAAGATCTGAACTATGGACACCTTCAAATTAGGCGCTTGCAGAAGCGATGTAGGGCGTTCAGTAATTTTTAGTTCACTAATTGTGACTGCATAAAAGGCGCGCGAGTTAAGGATGCTGCCTCGGCATTCTCAGATGTTTGTTTTACCTAAATTAGTTCGTTGAGTCCACCAGGACCCCTAGCCCAATCCCCCAAAGGATCTTTGTGAACTCAGCAGTTCATTAGAATCCCCTAAGTTAAATGTATGTAAAGTAGCAATCACATTGCGACAATAAATAATTACTTATTGTACCCATCGGGTACCTTGTCGTAACGTTTTTTGACTTGGGTAATGACTGGCGAGAAATACAATGGCATCAATAAAATGGCATTAATGTTGAAATTAGTGGCTGTCTATGGATCTTAGCACTTGCGTAGCTTTATTTATTAAACTGTAAAATTGCAACTTTTAGCACTTTCGTTGTTACTTTAATTAGAAGCAATATAAGCTTACTACAATAGTAATACTCGAGGTTCTTCTTGTACCAGACTTCAGAATATATAATAAACTAGCTCCCGTACGACTGCCTTTTACTTTTTCTTAAGTGGCGCAACCGGTTGAGCCGTCTAAGTGTCGTATTCTAGAACTCTACTCAATGCTCAAGTTAGGATTGCACTGGAAACACAAGCACTGGAAATACGACCCTAATGGCAGGGACTTGAGTATGATTTCGAGTGATTTAAACCATAACTGCCTCCGCGGCCGAACGGTTACCATGCCGGACTGCCACGCAGAGGTCCCAGGTTCGATTCCCGGGCCGGGAGAAATACTTGTATAGCCTACATTTATTTCTCTCATGAGTTTGGGTGTAATTTGTAGTTGTCTATGTGTGTGTCCATGGCACCCGCGACACAGGGTTGCCCTAGTGCGGGGCTATGTTGATTGTGAGCGTTATTATTATTATTATACTCTAATCCTGACTTGAGCATTGAGTAGAGTTCGAGAATGACCCTTAGAAACGCATCGAGCAGCGGAGCCATTGCCAACGCCGAGAGAGGAGAATCAAGGAGACGACCGTCTCCACACTTTGAAGACGGCCAGTGAACCTACAAATTTCTTAAGACAAGGAGAGGCATCGTCGAAAGAGCATCCAGTTTATATATTGTGAAGATACTATACAAGGGATCCACGGCATGGAAATCAAAAGTACAACGGTTATGTGAGTAAATATTTGTCACTACCCTCTCTATTCCCTTCCGTTTTATCTCATTACTGTATATGTTACCTTACAGTTACAGCTCGGTAATGACTACACGGCTTTGCCTTTCAAAACCGAAACGCAGTTAGTAAAACGACAGGCAATAGAATAGAAGAGTTTGAAATACAAACTTAATAACTACATACATCTAATAAGAAATATTTAATAAAGAAACTAAAACATTGAAATGTTTTTTTATTAAATAAAAAGAAAAGATTTCTTATACAAAGAAATTACAGTACGTCCTAAGTTAGGAATATCAGGCCGTAAAATTAATTTACAATTTGTAGGTAAAATAAGGAGTTTGTCAGCGATCATGTTGTAATGCACGATCTGCATGTTTTCACTTGGTTTTCATTTCATTTATGCCACTTTCCGAGCCTTCAATTGAATCCAATGACCTCCCTTTATGCAAATAGTGAATGAAGACGGGTCCAACTTGGGAGGTATAATCGTTCTTTTCGAAGGCGACACTTCGAAGGAACTTAGGAATTGATATGCCATTACCTTCACTTCGCAGAGGGCGAATCTTGAACCTGTAAAATAAAGTCAGATTGTGTATGATTTGAGACGTTATTACGTCACTACGTTGATACGCCAATTATTTGGGCCAGTGTGGTTAAGTATGCCGTAAACCATCTCCTTGAAGGTGATCCAGGCTTAGTAATGCGACGTGTATGGGCTGGTAATGATTATGATGAACGGCAACTGGAGCAGTGAAAATTTTTGCTCTGCTACCCGAGAAGCCAAGCTGCTTAGACGTTGAATCGTTCAGAAGCATGAGCATTTAGTTTTCATATTAATAAACTAGGTAAAAGAAAACTGCTTTTTAAACTTGCATATTGGAGAAGGTTTAATAATAACACTATACAATATACTATACAATCGATAATCCGTATTGAATCGAATAGTAACGAGATACTATTGCAGGAAAGAGAGAACTCTTCATAATTCCATACTTATTAGGAATTTCAATGTAAAAAAGAGGCAACTCCACGCAATGGCTATCATGCAATCCTGTGGACTCTCACTTACTACTAGGAATTCAAATAATTTCAATGCTATTTTCAAGAGAATCGATTAAATAGAACGGAAAAATATGCGAGCGAGCAATAAACATTTTGTAATAATATCATTACAGAACAAAACTCCATTTACAAATATTTAGTTGTAAATCGTTTTTTCCCTCGATTTCTGTTAATGGATTTTAACCCGATTTAAACCAGGCTTATCTCTGCCTGAGGGACCCTTTCCCAAAAGCATTTGTTTTTTTATGACAAGACCAACGAGTCGTGCGCCTGCAGCACTGCAACTTACCGCGTTGCAGTGTTACTCAGTGTTTTCATCGCGAAGATCTGTGGGGCACTGTTAATAAATTAATAAAGTTCCCGTTTACTGTAATTTCATCAATAACATTACCCGTCACCACCGGAACGCAGAAATGCTGTCATAGTAATGAGCTTAGTGGCTGTACTTACCTAGTTGAACTCAATCACAAAGAGCTCCACTGCTATGAAAGTATCTAATATTCATGCCATGATTATAAGATTTTTGATTACTGCTGCTGGTGTTATTAGAGTAAATGTGCGATAACATTTTTATAATAACCTGTACGCTCTTCCTGCATGGGTCGACCTCCTCATTAGTGTTCACACAATACTGGCTACATTCACTATGCAGTAGCAGTAATAAACATCTATGGACCTCATCACATCCCGCAATAGGTGCACTAATAGGCACTTTTGCAGCGCGGTAACACAAATATATGACCACGAGTGTAAACGGCATTTGAAGTTTCTGAGAGAATGCTTACACTGTTACGTTTAAATAGAAGATACGAAATCTCACCGATACAATTCCTAGGTCCAAGTCCAAACGGCATGTAAGTGAAAGGCTGAATCTTGTATTTGGTCTCTTCAGAGAATCTGTCAGGGTCGAAGTTATCCGGGTTCGGGTAGTACTTAGGATCGCGGTGAATCGCCCACACGGGGATCTGAAGACCGTCACCTTCGCGGATCTAATGAATAAAATAAGAATGAAAATTTTAAATTATAAAAACATACACTAAGGGAAGTTTGTGGTCTTCTTGGTTTAAACTCCATACCATAAGTAATTTCTTAATATTATACAAAAGTATGAAATCTTACTCATTCTTTGCAAGGTTTAACTCATTGGCTTTTCCAATGAGCAAAATGTTCAAAATATGCTGACAATTTGTAGTATACTTCTTGCATTGACTTATTTTATTGGTAAGTTAATGACTTCATGTCAACGAAGGTAATTACGAAATACACTATACATTCTTTTTACGATACCATGGGACAGGACGAACAAGTCGTGCGCCTGGTGGTAAGCGACACACCTGTCCATAACAGATGCGGTGCCGGTCAGCTTCAAATTGCAAAAATCTGAAGGCAGCCATTGCGCCCGTCACCCTGAGATATATAACTACTAAAATATATGATAATTGCCTCGGAGGCCCAACGGTTACTATATTCATTTGCCATGCAGAGGTCCTGTGTTCGATTACCTGGCCGGGAGAAATATTTATATGGCCTACATTTATATCCCTCGTGGGTTTGGGTGTAATTTGTGGCTATCTACGTCCATGACAACCGCGACACGGAGTACTAATAAAACCGACTCAAAAGTTCGTGGAATTACATTTATCTGCCAAATTTTATCGAAATCGGTTACCAGATGTGCGTGAAACCGGATTCAACCCCCAGTTTACCACCCTTAGAGGTGGAATATTTTCTTCAAATTTAAACGGGACCAATTCCGAGGTACCATCTTTCCAACAAAAAACGAATCATCAAAATCGGTTCACAAATGCTGCCGGACTTATCGCGTAACATATATACTGTCAAAATGCAGTTATGGTCACATTACTGCTTGGCAATAGAAAGAAGTAAGGTGGCAGTACCTCCCTGTACGAACTTTTATAAATATAATATGAAATCAAACAATTATACTTTGCGTTTGAACCCTTACAACGAAGTCATGAGTAGCTTTGTCATTAGGTTTGCCCAAGTTGTAATCTTTATTGCAGTATCTGTCCAGGTTAAAGTTGGGCGGCCATAACCTCATTGTTTCTGGAATACAAAAAATCAATACTTTGTAGCACTCCAAAAGTAATGCAATTCACACAAATAACTTTTGTTCTACGGCGTCAGCTATTTACAATCGTTTTTGTGTCTTAATTATGACTGAAGCTGATTTTTAACCCACAAGGCTTTTTATCAAAAGAGGACAGTCAGAGCGGTTACACACGGCGAGTTTGAACTGCGATCCAAACGCGCGACTGCATCGATACAAAACGCGCAACTTAATCGATACAAACGCGCGACTGCATCCATACAAACGCATTGTTTTGTTTTGATCATTGTAAATTTAAAAGTAAAATAAGTACTTAGATAAAATAAATAAATCAGTTAATTAATTAAGAACGTGCATCGCGTTTGCATAGCATTAGTATCGCGTTTGTATCACGTTTGCATCGCAGCTTATAAAGTCGCCCGTGTGTGTAAATATAGACAATTAGCGACTGCATCGTGTTTGCATTGCTGCTAAAAATTGCCTTATATTACCGTTCATATTAGTTTGAAGCCTTTGTGTGTATGAGAATCTGTGGCATCTTAGCTCTGAAATGAATCGCTTGACCTCAAGGTCTTTTTTCAGAAGTATCGGGTTGTCGGTCATTATAATGAATAATAATTAATATATTTTCACTTGTGCGATCGACTTGAAATTTGGTATACCATGGAAATTTTATGACATTACAATAACACGGTAACCTCGATTTGATGTTGCAACCAGAACAGTCTACAGACTATCCAACTCCTCGACTGCTCACAATAAAACTATAGTGTGAGCTCATTAAATAATTGGTATCTACGAGTTATTGACTTACGGATGGTGGCTTTATTGTCTTTTTGGTCTAAATAAAATTCACAAATATAGAATATGCAATGACATCATATAGAAGAGATTAACATATGGTTTTTGTTACATTTCAATGTTGTAAAGAATATGAAAGAAAGTTTTTCGTCATACCCTTACCTGATACAACCATGTCCATATAAACCATATTCTGTATAGAGTTATAGTCAAATTGTCCTTTGTTGCTGTCCTCGTTCTCTCTGATTTCCTTGTATAGTTTCTCTTGAATGTCAGGGTTGACAGCCAGCTCGTACATCAGGAACGACATAACACTGGATATGGTTTCAAAGCCAGCTAAGAAGAACAGGACGGCTTGGGCGCATAGGTCATCGTCGGACCATACTGGAGAGGAATGATTCTAGTTTTGACAGAACATTTTGAAATAAAACACACATCAATTAAGTGGTTTTCATCGTAAGTATGAACCTGTGAATTATTGCTCGTAAGTCATAGAATCCTTCGTCTTACAAAGATAATTCAAATAATGGGTTGTCCAAAACGTCCTTGCGGTATTTGCCACTAGCTAACTTTAAAAAGAAAACTTTTTTCTTTTATAATATTATATTGTTGGTAATTTTAAAAATAATATTATAGCACGCATTATAAGAAGCGACAGGGTTATATATTTTATTTCGAGAATGCCAAACCACTCACGATTTAAAAAAACTGTCAAAAACTTTTGTAGTTACTTTGGGATGTGTTACGCCATCCATCGTACTCGCTTTAGATAGTGACATGACTTTGATAGCAAAGAGACCATTGCGTTTTGAAGAGTACTTATAGCTGTAGTTTATAAGTAAACCAACGCAACGTATTCATAGATTTCCCAGATTTGATAGTCTCGCACTAAAATACTTACAGACAGTAAAGTTGTTACCAGTGTTCACAACGGGACATTTGCTTCAGCTGTACCAAACACAAGTCCGGTCGTGTATGGAGCACTGCTACTGCATAATAGCAACTGGTCACCTTAGATTTAATAGACAAGCGTGCCAAGAGGCGAAGCTGCAGTGCTTTGAACACTGCTGTAGAGTTGCCTGCTTATTGGTATTTTAAGAGGGAGCAGAAGCAAAATTCCTAATCTTCGATTTGATTTTAGAGGAGTATATCCACTTTAAAGTTAAAAATAAAATATTGTATGAGTAACTACACGATATATTCAAGCATAGACACTAATCAGAAACATAAAACAATAAAGTTTCCTCGATAGATAAAAATCAAGAAATGACCTCTAATTTTCACATTTTTTCGATTCATCCTCGAAATGCTACAGGTTATTAGGACAAAAATTAGATAATTAATTATATTTATGCATGATCGAGAACTGTCACTACGGATTTTTTTTAATCCCTTTAGTTTTAGAGTTATTCCGCTTAAACGAATTTGGTACTTTTAATGCGCAAAATTCAACATCTTCTGTCGCAAGTCACGCGAACTTCAGGCACATATTTGTTTCACAAATTTGGGCGGGGCCAACGTCAAAACTGTTTTGGCATGCTCCCTCTTAAAGGATATATCACAGAGAGTGTGCGATGGAATTACATAATTTGATTCCGCCATTCCCCTATACATCGTCGGGGATATAGACGAGGGCTGGGGTTATACCCTTATGTTGTGGATGTTTCCAAGATTCGCACGAAACGTTTCGCTTCACCTTTTTTTTGAATTTTTTTGATTGGAATTCACTGCCTGTGGACTTGTTTCCCGAACGCTACAACTTGGAATTTTCAATGCGAGAGTGAATAGGCATTATTTAGGTGTGCATGCTACATCGTCGACCTCATCATCACTTTCCATGAGGTGAGATGGAGGTCAAATGCGCACTTATTTTTTATCTAAAAATAAAACAAAAGTTTGTTTATCGGAAACAATTTCAGTCACAATTTCGTCAAGGAACTTTCTTTATCGGTCTTCTCCTGAATGATAACATTGTTTTAAGTCAATACTAACTAAACCATATTGAGTATTAATTATTGTGCCTATTTTGATTTACCATACCCTTGTTTATTTGCTTCCGGCCCACGGATGATTCTTCGGCGGTGGCAAAGCCGACGTCCTTGTCGCTTGCTTTCTCTTCATGGGTCAATTTTCCTGTAAAATAAAAAAATGTATAAACAATATTTACATTGTTCGAATTTGTACTTTGAAACATGTATCAAGAAATATGATGAAAAAATTCAACGCAAAATATGATTACAAATAGGTTGACTTGATTCTTAAGTAATGACACTATTTTTCCGGATTAAAATCGCGTATATTTGTTTTTTCAAACCGTGACCACGGAACTGTAAAGGGTCCGAAACGTCGGTTTGTTTCTATGTGTAACAATTTCGAAAACCTAAGAACTTGACACTTAACACTTTATTGACCCAATACAACACTTCTTAGTGTTAGGGCGCGTTCAAATCAGCCGCTGTTAGCGGCGCTGCAGCAGCGCTGCAGCCGCGTGGCGGCCGCGTGATGGCCGCGCGACTGTCACTTTCATACAATTCTAGACGCGCTGCAGCAGCGCGACTGTCGCGCGGCCGCCGCTCGGTTGCAGCGCTTCTAGAAATTGTATGAAAAGTGACAATCGCGCGGCCGCCGCGCGGCTGCTGCGCGGCTTGCATCGGCTAATTTGAACGCGCCCTTATACGGGGTCAACGATTCTGAATTTTTGGGGTTAACTCGTGCTACCACAGATTCCACCTGGAAGAGGTGGGCTGGGTTAATGGGTAGGGAAGCATTCGGTTTTGAAGCTGTCGACGTAGGTATCCTTTTCATTCTTTATTTATCTTAAAGGAAGACCAACAGCTTAAAACTAACTTAAGTAATAATAATAACAACTGAGCGCCAATCACAGATCCTCACAAATAGAAATATGAGAAGGATGCCCAATTCAATTGACCTATCGCATAGAACATAACATATTACGTAAAGCATAAAAATGCAACCGCAGTTGCAAACCTCGTTATGAGTAATAAAAAATAAGTGGGCATTTTTTGTGTGGTGCTCTCCTCATCGAAATCACACTCGTATTGAAAAGATCTAGATCAAAAGAAGTAGATAGAATGTTAAAATTATTGCTTTTAGTCTAATGCTAAGTAAAGTTGTCTAGTCCAGTCTAAAGTTGATTCGATTAATACCTCTAGAATGTTTCTGGTCTACAGTGATACATTTTAGAGAACAGATTAGTTGCAAGAGCGTTGGTAAGTTTATGTAAATTGCCGCGACTAGCTTTAATAACCAATGGAATCAATCCTGTGGTTGGTAACTAGTAATAATATACTTAATTTTATTAATAATCCATCATTGTTATCTACGACCTTATTTTTACTAATGAAAGCTATTATCATTGTTTTCATATTATCAATTAAGTAGTAATTGATGTAATCATATCACATGTTATTTTTGCTTTTTCATTTTGAAACGTACATTTGAATTACGAGAAATCTTCGTAATTATAAATAGCATTGATGAAAATAATTGCATAAAAGCATGGATATAGTGCAGGTTAAGGTAATATAAGCGATGTATCCATGAAGATTTAATTTTTTTATGTAGCTATCAGTGAAGTATGTAAACATAGTGTGTAAATAATTGTGATTGATTGAATGATATTTAATAATCTACATTGCTCAAATACTTGATTTCTCGTAGACGGCGCTACGGCTAAAAAATTGTTGAAAAACCAACGATTACGTTAGTTATGATAAGGAGGGCAGTATTTATACAATAATCTATTTAGTTCAGGTAAGATGGCGTTAGATGGCATTGACCACTTTTTTGTGTATTTTCTAAAACGCGCTATCAGGTTGTTAATACAAATTGTGCTATTATATCATTGACTTACACTTATATGGACGTCGGGTCCGCGCTAAAAAGTGTCCGAACTTGTAGGGCGTTAAAATCGTATACAGAGCGTCATTCACGCTTTAGTCTTCGTTTGTTCGACTGACAGCGAAGCAAGCAAAATTAGACAGTAGTAATTTTAGCTTTTTCATATTCCTTTACATATCACTACGTTTAAATAGGTTGACTTCGGACATTTTTTTCGTGGTTTTTGTATTAGACCCGTCGTCCATTTATTTGTAAGTCAATGTATTATATATATTTTTTTTATCAAGTAATGGGACGGACAAGTCGTGCACCTGATGGTAAGATACACGCCTGTCAATAACAGTTGCAGTGCCACTCAGAGCTTTAAAACGCAAAGATCTAATGGGCACTTCCACTGCGCCCGTCACCCTGAGATATAAGTTGATAATGTGTCTGTAATTTCACCAGTAATTTTACCCTTCTAAACCGGAATGCAATAATGTAAGCATTACCGCTTGGCGGCAGAAATGGGTAAAGTGGCAGTTACGCTCGTGTTTATTACGTATTATATTATTACGCGGAGGAATCTAAAGCCGTGTTGATACAATCACTGCCCTAGCCACCTCCATCCTGCATGCCTTCAAGATATCTCTTCACGCCTGAATCTTCCTTTAAGATATTCTGCCTATATAATTTATTAACTGCCTCCGTGGCCGAACGGTTACCATGCCGGACTGCCACGCAGAGGTCCCAGGTTCGATTCCCGGGCCGGGAGAAATATTTGTATGGCCTACATTGATTTCTCTCGTGAGTTTGGGTGTAATTTGTGGTTGTCTATGTGTGTGTCCAAGGCACCCGCGACACAGGGTTTCCCTAGTGCGGGGCTATGTTGATTGTGAGCGTTATTATTATTATTATTATTATTATTGTCTTTATGCTAAATAAGATAAGTCACAGTCAAAGTCAAAGATTATTTATTCCATAGGTAAAATAAATTTACACTTGAAAACGTCACATTTAAGCTAGTGCTCGTTCACTACGCTGACCTCCCTGAGAAGAACGAGCAAGAAACTCTAGGGATTGCTCTTTTCAAATAAACTTAAATGCTATGGAATACACTTTTGAATCAAATTTGTGTGGATTCTGAAGCCATGTCGTCTTTCCATATATCTTTATCTAACACGTAGTCTTCAATTTTGTAATATGATTTTTCGATCAAAATATTTTTAATGTAGTTTTTAAACTTAGGAAATGATAAACTTAATATATGCTCCGGAATCTTATTATAAAAACGTATACAGTTCTCCATAAAAGAGTTGTTTACCTTGGTTAAACGAAATCGGGGTACCATGAGTTTGGACTTAGCTCTAAGGTTAATATTATGGATATCTTCTTTCTTCTTGAAATTATGTATATTTTTACGGGCAAATAAAATATTTGAGTAAATGTACTGTGATGCCACAGTCATGATACCAGTCTCCTTAAACTTTTCTCTGAGAGAAACCTGAACGAATCGCTCGTTTTTGCAATACAAATATGGTTTGAATATCTGCCGCCTTACCCCACATGAGAACGTTATACTATGGAAGTAACTAAAGTAATCTAGTCTAGCTTTTTTGTAATGAGGGGTAGCTCAGGATGCGTAGCGAGAGGTACTTCTAATAATATAAACCGGGATCATCTTAAGAACTCTGGTTTATTTCACCATTTTACAGTACTAACATCGGTAAGCTCACGTATTCTGCGGACTGCGTATGCAGCGGAGCTTAATCTGCTGGCTAGGGAAGATATATGTGGAAACCATTGAAGTTTACTATCTAAGGTCACTCTCAAGAAGACTGCTTTATTAACAAGGTCTAACTTTCTCTGTTTATTTCTATGCTTGAACTAGTCGATTTTACGTTGGGTAATTCAAATTTAACACATTTTGTCTTCTTGGCATTGAGTAATAAATTGTTAGCATTAAACCAACAAACTACCTTAGAGAGAGTATCATTAATATGGTCATAGTTAATGTCATGTCTGTCTGTTTTAAAAATCAAGGATGTGTCATCAGCAAACAACACTATTTCGCAATGGTCCTTAACAAAGAATGGCAGATCATTAATATAAATCAGAAATAAGAAAGGCCCAAGTATTGACCCCCGCGGAACACCCATTTTTACCGGAGAACCCAAAAAGGTCACACCATTTATTAGATAAATGAGTACGTATTAGATAATAAAATTAATTCTCGGGGCAGTACTAAATTACATATCTAGACCCGAAATAATTTAGTAAAAAGTTAAAGTATTTTTTTTTATATTATTTTATTTATTTTATTTTTATTTAGTATGTTAGGTATAAAGTATGTTAGGTAACCCGCCAAATTAAAACATTCAAACCTAAATCTTGTTTTTTTTTAATTGGTTACACCGGGATTTGATTGTAGAACTCCATGACGCTACACTATTGAACCAGCTAACGAAAACACTGTTACCTTTCTTAGCTTCCATTAGCAGATGTATCATGTCAGGACGAATGATATGTTTGAGCTCCCTGTTCTGCATCGTCTCCTTCACCAGCGTCCTGAAGAAGTTCTGCACCGACTCCGGGAACATACTCCATTTCAATATCTAAAAATATGAGCACATTAGTTAATTTGGTCAAACTAGGGAATTTCCTATACTATGAGTAACCATAGCTACGAAATTGACTGTTCTGGATAATACATGCAGTAAAGTTCGTTTCCCAAATTGGTCCTACGGGGAATCGAACCCGGATCATCCAGTGTTCGCACGCAAACCATTGAACCGAAGTCCTCATAAAAAGTACCTATATATTGAATTATCAACCAAACTTAACTTCTATATTAACAAACAAGCAAGCCGCCTGACGGACCGATCCACCTAGCGGCAAATGGCCACATTCACTTATAGTTACTATTTTATACGAAGGATGTAATTTTATAGAAATAATTTACATTAATTCATTCACCAAAAATTGTATTTTTGATGTTAAGTTAAGAAGCCGCCAGACAAACCGGTCTGTGACGATGCGACCTCGTTCATCGTCATCCCCTCTTTTGTCACTCTTTTCTCTGGCTCCTGACCACTTACTTTTGAAATTTTGAATCGTTCTCTAATTCTTTTTCTTCTCCATTGTTACTTTGCTCCATTCCGTCATCACTCCGTACGAAATTCTCGAGACGAGCAGGCATGCTCTTTATGCCCTTTTGGGGTAAGATCACTAATCAAATAATAATAAACTAACAAGTTCTAATCTGCACGGGGTGTTTGTATATTATTGTACCTTTTTTATGCTATTGTTTTGTTGTAACTGTTTTTGTTATAGTCTGTACTTTCTTTCTTTTTTCCCTCACCTATTTCTGTTATAGTTATACAATAAATTCATGTGGAATACGCGAGAACCGCGAGATAGGTCGAACTAGCTAGTCTAGCTGAAAAGTGATTACCACCACCAATAGGTGGTAACCATAATACACTTGCAGTTGTCATATTGATCATACTATTCTACTATCTCATAAGGCAGATTCTCCTGAGAAGTATGAGTAAGAAACATCAGGCGTTTCTCTTTGTATAAAAACATTTGTCATTTAAGATTATTTATTTCAAATATCAGATCAAGACAACCTGCATGAGCTAAACCACTTCGGGTCAATACCACTTATTACTATGAATTTTTATCATCCTAGTAAGCAGGCTCGCAAAAAAATTTTTGTTTCGTTAAGGTTTGAAGCTTCATATATAGTAAATTTTTAATATCAACCGGAATCTTATTATAAAAGCTTAGTATGTTTATGTATATTACCCTGTTAATTAATTTGTGACCTTGTAAATATGCGAATACGACTGTCAAGGACAGCAAGTTTATTTTTATTTCTCGTATTAATGTAACGTTTTCCACTATTTTCCACAAGGGTGCATATAGATCTGGCGAATTCGCCGTGTACGCACTGCATGTGCACTGCGCGCGAGCTGCTCGCATAGTGCACGAATTAAGTGACTGAGACGAACTTTGTTATAAAAAAATACTTTATTTGTTATGCCAACCTAACTACATGAAATTCGAAATTACAATCAACCTTGTCTAACTTAAAATATGTAATAATAGGGGTTAAAGTATGAAATTGCCGATTTGTACTGAAAATCTAAATTGTTTATTTTTTAAATTTTTAACAAATTTATTTAATCAAAATAGTTGCCATTATTATCTATACATTGCTGCCATCTAATGGGAAGGTTATTAATGCCTTTGCGATAGAACTCCGACGATCTAGACTGCACAAACTGTGTGAAAGCATTTTGTACTGCCTCCTGGGAAGAAAACTTCTTGTCACGTAGATAATTGTCCAAATCACGAAAAAAATGGTAGTCCGTTGGAGCAAGGTCTGGTGAATACGGAGGATGACGAATGGTTTCTAACTGCAGTTCCTGAAGGGTCAAAATGGTTTCTCGTGCTGTGTGAGGTCTCGCGTTGTCGTGGAGCAATAATGGTGAAGATCGATTCATGAGTCGGGGCTGTTTTACTGCTAGTTTTGTCAACATGGTTCGGAGTTCGGCACAATAGACATCTGCCGTTATTGCTTGACCAGATCGGAGAAAACTATAGTGAATAACACCATGCTGAGACCACCAAACAGTTACCATTACCTTTTTATTGGTAAGTTTTGCTTTAGGACACTGTTGTGGCATTTGACCTGGGGTCAGCCATTGCATTTTTCTTTTCCGGTTATCATAAAGAATCCACTTTTCATCACATGTTACAATTCGATCCAATATTCCTTCATTTCTGTACCGGTTCAACAAGGCAACACAAGTTTCAACACGCGTTTCTTTCTGCAGATCAGTCAAATCATGAGGCACCCATTTTTCGTATTTTTTTATTTTATTGATTTGACGCAAGTGAGTCAATATTGTGGGTAAGGTAACGTTAAACCATGCCGCTAATTCCTGGGTAGTTTGACTAGGATCGGCTTCCACTATCTCTCTTAATTCATCGTTATTCACCTGTGTGGGCGGTCTTCCTCGTGCCTCGTTCTTTAAGTCGAAATTTCCATCACGAAAGCGTTTAAACCAAAATCGCACGGTGCGTTCATTAGTAGACCCCTCTCCAAACGCAGCATTGATATTGCGGGCTGTTTCTGCCGCGTTAGTTTCGCGTCGGAACTCGTATTCAAAAATCACTCGAATTTTCGCAGTATCCATCTTTCTTGTCTAAATTGAATAACAAAAACAATTGAAAGTCGATATTCAAATGTTTCAAATTAAAAAAAAAAAAATCACAGAAACCATTTGAAAAAAGTTTCATTCGAAAACCTCAAACCATGAAGATTCTATGAAAATTCAAAGAACTATTGCAATAAAACGGCAATTTCATACTTTAACCCCTAATATATAGAAGTTACAAAGCGTTGTCAGCTATGTGTTGTCATACCGCTTGTCCTACTTAGATGGGTGCTGTCGCGGCGGCTTGGCAGGGCTGACGAAGCTGGTAAATGAGCGTTTCTTACACTTAACACACGTGTGCTGCATGCGTGTAATTAAATACATGTTAACACAAACGGCGTGCGAACGGCACGCAAATAGAGCGCACAACGTAATACTCGCGTGCAGCTCGCGAGTCTTTCGTAAACAGGCGCATTTGCGGCGCATTCGTCAGATCTGTACGCATCCTAAAAAAATATTGTTCTTCTCAACATAAATTATATTCGTAAATGTACTTGACAGTGTTGAAACTGCCTCCGTGGCCGAACGGTTACCATGCCGGACTGCCACGCAGAGGTGCCAGGTTCGATTCCCGGGCTGGGAGAAATATTTGTATGGTCTACATTTATTTATCTCGTGAGTTTTGGTGTAATTTGTGGTTGTCTATGTGTGTGTCCATGGCACCCGCGACACAGGGTTTCCCTAGTAGGCTATTTTGAGTGTGTGCGTTATTTATTGTAAGAATGTTAATTTCTCTAAACGACTTTCTTAGACACTTTGATTGAAAACTCAAAATACTCACTGCAGCCACATTGGGAAAAGAATTCGACAATAAGAACACGAGTAATTGACGAAAACTGAAAGTGGAAGCATTTTTTCCCATTAAGTAAAATTGATTGTGCTCATCTTTATGAGAATCCACCTTCAAGCCAAAAACACAAGATGCAATTACGTCATTCGCGTATCTAGTTGTCAGGTCTTTCACATCGATATCCAAATAACCCTCTGCAAATAAAAGAAGCTATAAATTACACAGACATTACAAAATGGTTAAATAATACCAAGGTATTATCCCAAAGGCATACACCTACCACCCTCAAAAGATATTCAAGAACTTTCACCAAAACAAAAAAACATTAGGGTGCGACAGCGCGTGCGCAGCGCACATGTAGCGCGTTCGCTGTCTTCGCGATGCACCAAAATCCACTTACGTTTACATTCTTGGATTTTTTTCTCAAGCGAAAGGATCATCTGGTCTCCCACCTCCACCATCAGTGGCAACATCATCTTCATTTTGGAGCTGGTGAAAGCTGGGCTGAGGGTCGATCGCATATCCTTCCATTCTTGACCTGATGAACAAAAGTCGTAAATTTGAAAATGCATTTTTGCACACATCTATTTTACATTTACATCCATCGTAAGACAAAATCCGAAACCGCGTTTAGTAGTATAACATGGCAATAGCATAATACACTATTGTACTTACCTCTTAAAGATATAAGATTCCTTCCAAAAAGCGGGTCGCATTCTTCATTGATGAAAACATTGTGGTCAAGGAAGTGTTCAAAGTCCTTGACGGTAATCTTCTTGATCAGTTCGATATCCCTCACCTGTAGAAACGGCGTCAGGAATTGGAACGCGCCGTAGAACCTGAAATAATCATTAGAATACTAATAAATTTATTTCATTTATTCGGTAAAACGCTTTTAGTAGCTTTCATAATAGAAGAATTATTATTTTACAGGATACATCACGGAGAATACGGGAATGGGACAAGTTGTCATTTTGCGATATGGTCTTACTACAACAAGGGTGATATTTTTTTTAATTGACCGTTTTAGATATTTTACGATATAAGTGTGACAGCATATCCATATGCATTTTTTACAGTTTCTTTTTAGGAAAAGGACAATTCAGATAAACCTTTTTCAAAAACAATAAATGACTATACAAGCATTACGATTTATTTTAAATTACAAAACATTTTATGTTTAAACAAAAAAGCCGTGGTAGCGTAGTGGGTTGACCTACCGCTACTCAAGCAAAGGCTGTGGGTTCGAATCCGGGTTCGCACCTCTGAGTTTGGGATTTTTTTATTGAGTGACGGGACGAACAATATGTGCGCCTGATGGTAAGCTACACACCTGTCCAAAAAAAGACGAGAATGGTCTTGTACATGACAAGAACTTTGTCGGATCCAGGCACGAAAACATTTCGTGTCTGTTGCAGATGAGAAAATGATGAGTATGTACACGATACGAATGCTTTGCGACAGATGTGTGTAGGGTAAAATGTGTCAGTGTATAACGTGTCTTCCAGGTAGCAATCGTTTTACTACCGACTGTGGGAAGAAATACGTTGACTACTAAGCAACACCAACGTCCTCGCGCATAAACGATCGTATACTGATAATGGACCTCACCCCACACAGTAGCGGCAGAGCGCATCGTTTCGGGGGTAGACAAGTGTACATAGATCGTGTGTAGAAACGACACGAATTCTTGCATAGACCCGGCGACTTTTCTTAGCGTGGACACGCGCCCTAATTTACTTTAAGCCAGTGTGGCGGACTATGATTTAAACACTCGCCTGAGAGGAGACCCGAACCTAGCAGTAAGATAAAAGGGTTGATGATGATAATGACGGTAACTACCGTCTCGTGAACACTGTTTGTATATTATTTTTGGATTTACCTTTGATCAGAAAATTGGTTGTAAGTCTTAGTAATTTGTTCAGTAAAATGCTCTCGCTGTAACAAAATTCTCGTCATAGTACCGAAAGGCGGGATGATTTTGGATGTCTTCACACCTTGCCTTTTAAAGGTGCCATATACTTGCCGCAAGTACAGAAATACCGCAACCACAAGGCAACCCAGCCAAATCCAGACCAGCATCTGGAAAAATACCCTAGGTTATATCGAGTTGTTAGGTTTTCGCGATTGTTACACATAGGCAATGAAACTATTTTTCCGGAATTAAATTGCGTGTATTTGTGTTTTGAAACGTTTCGGGCCCTTTACAGGTCCCATGGTCACGGTTGACTGAGGTGGGAAAGTATAATATTAATACTAACCACCCTATTTTGGCACTGTAGATACAAAAGTTATTAATTAAATACCTTATTTTTAATTTTACAAAGATACATTTCAATTTACGCTACACTACGTTGTACAAATGATTTTATTTTAAGAATATGAATTTTTATTAAGTCAAATTTATTATTAATTAATAATGGAATTAGAATGAATTAAAACATATTAATTAGTATTGCAATCTTATATCTGTTTGGCATTTTTCATCAATGACAATACTGGATCCCAAACTTGTTGATGACTGTACCACCTCAATCAACCGTAACCACCTGTAAAGGGCCCGAAACCTTGGTTTGTTTGAAACAACAAATTTACGCGACTTAAGTACGGAAAAATACTTTCATTTCCTACTCTAGATTACTTTGAATTTACCCAAAGCGAATACAGGGTGGTTTCTCTTTTACCGCATTCACATTCAGTAAAAAAAAGCCACGAAATCTTAAACAGTCTAATTCAGATTCGCCATGTATGCAAGATTACCAAAAAGACTACATTAATTTAAAATGCCGTAGACGTATTCTTCATTCCTAAATATCCTTCCTGATTTAGATACACTGAATTAAAATAGTTCAAAGTATTATACTAAACTTTGTTTGGTTACAATGCCGTGAGTCGCCACAGCGACGTGTTGCATGTGGAGAAGAGGACGTGGGATCGGCCAAAATGCCAAAATTTTACTTACACTTACTGCCAGAACTTAGAAACAGCGATAACCGCTTAATAAGCAAAAAAAGCTGGACTGAGCGCAATAATTCATTAGAAACAGTAACACACAGCGGTTTTAAGTCGAAATATAGTAACGATGCGGTCGCTAATCGTCTACCTTACACACGCGCGCGACGTAAGCAGCGATAGAATCACGTTGCACGTTAGAAAATTCGCCATGTAACCGCTCCTAAGGCAGCTTCACACGGCCCGTTTTTAAAACTTCAATATTCGCTTGAAAAAGTGTATAATTACTATAGTAGCACTAATATAACGAAATATAAACAGGAAGGTTTACCTCAGTGGTTGGAATACACACTTATATACCAAAAATTCTAAACTAAATCAAGGCCAACTTGGTTGACAAATGATAACACACACATAAATGGCGACGTGACGTAAGACGTCCGGTGCGCGCGTGCGCCAAAACAGTACCAACCATAGACCGCTATACTCACTCACATTTTACTAATAGTGTAAAGCTCATTTTACATTGCCGCAGACCGGAATAGAAGCTAATTTTTAACATAATAAACTTTCTGTCAATTATGTAACGTACAAACCAGATACTGCACGGTAGCTGCTGGAATTCCTGAGATTATGCAAGAATTTTCCGGAAGATACGCAATCTGTTTCTTGGCTCGTCCGTTCATTATGTTCAGTCGCCGTTAGTTGACGGGACGCATGTGACATTTAAAAAAATTGTTGTCTAAACTGCCATGATCAGTAAAAAAGGCCGATCTGTCACCATTTTTATTTTTTCTCTAAGTGGTTAAGGTATAAAATTAATGCAAGAGAAAAGTAGATATTTTTTAATTTCATTTCTACATTATTTTCTCGGTTTTGAGTTTTGTCTCAACTAACGGCGACAGTGCTATGGTTACATAAATTGTTTTATATAAGTACCTATATAGACATTATTAAAAACTAAAATCAAAATGGGGAGGCTATGCACCAAGTTTCACTGCGAGATCCAATCAGGAATGGAATGGATATCCGAAAATCCGAAAAAGAACCGGAGTAACCCACATAGCACAAAGAATTACTGTATGGGCCACCTTACTCCATACATAGATTGTAGTGGTAGTTCGCAGAGAAAAGCTTGCGAAGAAAATAATAATAAGTATATTGGTATAAAATACAGGTGTAATGGTGGCAAAACTTTCCTTGATATAGAGTATCGGTGGACAGTTGGTGATTACCAACATTAATAAAATGTGAATCACCTATTTAAAAGTGCGGTACGTGGCTAAAGTAAATCGCCGCGTGCGCAGTGTTACATCAAAGAATGTATGAGATCATACAATTACAAAACTCTAGTGGCAGTGGGCGGGATACATTACTCACAGAACAGCTGATCGGGAAGACGCAGCGTGGGCAGACCACCCACAAAATGGACCGATGACCTGGTGAAGCTTGAGGGAATTCGCTGGATGCAAGTAGTGCAAGATCGGTAGTTGTGGCGATCTTTGGGGGAGGTTTATGCCCAGCAGTGGAAGTCTAAAATGATTATGATGATGACACAAATTCGTTTCGATTCCGTTCTGCAGCAATGTAAATTGAGCTTCACAATCTACGAGTCGGTGCTATGCTAAATATAGTTGATTGGAATCCCACCAAAAATATTTACAGATAATTTTGCTCTTTGTGATAAAAAATATCTTTTAGAATTAGCACGAAGTAAATAAAGTACACCATTATTAATTTAATCATTTACTCTCTGGATTGAGTATGTACCACTATACTTACTTTTAGTTGCGGGGAGAACATTGACTTACAATTATATAGACGTCGGGTCCGCGCTAAAAAGTGTCCGAACTTATAGGGCGTTAAAATCATATACAGAGCGTCATTCACGCTGTAGTCTTTGTTTGTTCGACTGACAGCGAAGCAAGCAAAATTAGACAGTACTACGATGACATTACAATTTAAATTCAACGTTTTAGCTTTTTCATATTCCTTTACATGTCACTACGTTTCAATAGGTTGACTTGGGACATTTTTTTCGTGGTTTTTGTATTAGACCCGTCGTCCATTTATTTGTAAGTCAATGGGAGAGAAGTAAAATTTGACTTCCGGATTAGTTTAGAAATCAAAGTCAATATTGTTACCTATTCATCAAGTTTTATGTTTGAAAATGCTTAATTTATTAATGGAATAGCCCTGAATAACAATTTAGGTGACCAGTATTTATATAATATATAAACAAAAACATAAATTAATAATTTTGCGCTTTGTCATAAAAAGCAAAGTATCTGTTACACTTAATGCGTGTCATAATGCTTAAAGTTAGTTGCGGAGAAGAATTGAATTTAACCTCCGAAATAATTTGGAGGTCATGCCCAAATCATACCCATATTATTACTTAATCATCAAGTCTTATATAGATTTTAAGACTTTCGTGGTTATTCACTAAATGATTATCACTAGTATCAGGTTTCTTACCACGGTATGACTTTTTTTTTTCAACCCGTCAACCCGTCAACCCGTGACCATGGAGCGTGCAACCGTTCCGAAATATCGGGAAAATAAAAAGAAGTCATACCGTGGTAAGAAACCTGATACTAGTGATAATCAAGTCTTATGTTTGAAAATGCTTCATTTATGAACCGAGTAGTGCCGAATAACAATTTAGGTAACCCACATACCCGTAATATGTCAGAATAAAAAAAATCTATGTATTTCTGGAAACAAGGTCATTAGACGCCACTAAACACAACTGTGATATCATTTGCTTTCATACCCAAGTATCTTATATTATATTAATTAAACAAGGGACTTCAAAACGGAATTTCTTCCTAAATATTCACGCGTAAAAGTCAACCACGTGTTCCATGCTCTTCATTGCTGCCACATCGATTCCCGCTACGTGGATGCGTTCCAGGAGCTCTACCATTCAGCCACTCTGCAGGTACGAGTTCACCATTTAACCGATCCCGTTCCAATCCAGCGAGGAGTGAGACAAGGAGATACCATTTCCCCAAAATTATTCACAGCAGCACTTGAGGATGTCGTAAAAACCCTTAAATGGGATAACCACGACATTAACATCAATGATGTCCATGTGTCTCACCTAAGATTCGCGGACGATCTCGTGCTACTTGCAGAAAGTTTCGACGATCTCCAAAGGATGCTGGAACAACTATATGACGCTTCTTTGAGAGTTGGCCAGAGGATGAATATGTTCAAGACGAAAATTATGGCGAACCTCTCCAGTCCCTCAAGTACCACTGTCACGGTGGGAAATGAGAGGCTGGAGAGAGTCGATCAGTACGTCTATCTCGGACATGTTCTGTCCTTTGGCAAAGAGTATCAGCCTAAAGTGATCACAAAAAGAATCCATCTGGGATGGGTTGTGTTTGGCAAGTTAGATGACATCCTTAAAGCGGATAAGGTTCCACAGTGTCTGAAGACCCGCTTGTTTAATCAGTCTGTTCTGCCCACCATGACGTATGGTGCCGAGACATGTCCATGTCTCGGCACCTCACGCAGGAAACTGTATACAGGTTGAGAGTTGCACAGAGGGTCATGGAGCGCGCCATGCTCGGCATCAGCCTTGTAGACTGAGTTCCGAACGTTGAGTTCCGACGACGGACAAAAATCCAGGATGCTGGATCTCGGATCATGGAACTCAAATGGGGCTGGGCGGGACGTCGACTGATTGGCGGTCGAGGTGGGTCGACGACATAGTACGCGTCGCGGGGCGTCAATGGATGCGGCTAATACGGGACCTTGGTGGATGGCACAAACTTCGAGGCTTATACCCAGCAGTGGGTGAAATCAGGCTGTGGATGATGATGATGATGATAAAGTCAGCCAGCAAAGGCGCATATATAAAATATGACTTTAACCATTTTCATTATACAGTTTTTTGTTGATAGTCGGCACCCTTTATTTGACCAGAAACTCCCACCAGTACGATTATCAAGCCGTAGAAGCTTCCTTCGACATACCACCACTATAGAAGGTAGCCAACAAACGCGAGACGCAAACTTGGGCAAGCCAAGCTCGCTGCTCCTCTTGATGTTATATCCCCAGCCGAAAGTCTTTCCCGCGGGCACCTGTTGCGGTGGTCAATATGGAAATCCCTGAACCGTCTCATGTCATAAGCTGGCTGATGTAGAGACTACATGGTGAAATACATCAACTGAACTCAAAACCATGGTGCAAACGGATCCCCCATTCAAAGCATGTCTCACTTGCTCTCGTGCTCATTGTGCCCGACCAGCTGCACCCGCGAAGACCTGCTACAGGCAACAAATAGGGGCATAAAGGTGACTGCTTACTGGGCCAAAATATAACACTGGTTTGTCATTGACTCGACAAGAACAACGTTACAGCTTGAGGGAATAAAGGTCCGCACAACAACAAGCACATAGATAATTTCGTAATACCTACTGTTTGACATGTTGCTAAGTTGGTGAAAGCGGTAGCCTTGGTGAGGCAACAGACATTTGTTCGAGTTCATCTAAGGAATTTTTCTTCGTGATTGTTCGATCCTTGTATCCATAATAATAATAATACTACTAAAGGTATTAAGTAAACAACTAAAACACTAAAATACAATTAAACATTTTATTTAAACAATATAATACACAAGCAACTAAATGAATTACAGTGTAGCTGACTTTATACATATAGGTAAAAAGGAAGAATCCAGCTCATTTGTTAGAAAAGTTTCCGAAATTTTGACTTTTCTTATGATATCAAGTGACGAACGAGTCGTGGACCTGGTGCTAAGCGACACGCCTATTCATAACAATTACAGTACCACTCAAAGCTTTAAATCACAAAGCATAGATCTTTCTTTCAGGGCACTGCCACTGTTCCCGTCGTCCTAGGATATAAAGTAGACAAGTCCCACTGCTTAAAACAGAACGCAATGATGCTCACATTATAGCTTGGCAGCAGAAATACGTAAGCTGACAGTACTTTTCTGAATAAACTCTTTCACAAGCAGCTCTACTGCTACTAAATGACACGAGGTGGTGTGTTAACAGGAATATTAAGACGCTTTATTTTTTATTCACGATCATATTTAAATCCCCCGCATAAATATGCATATAATTATATTAGTAACCTGTCTTGAATATATAGGTACCTACGTACGGAATATATCATTAATTTTAAAGATTCCGAATTACATTAAAATAGAGTATTCTGAAATTTCTAATGGACCAGTGGAACAAAATTGTATAAGCAGACCATTTTCCTGCTTTGGTTGAAATTTTGGAACTACGCATCCAAAAGAGAGTACTTCTCGCTTACCAATCCAAGGCAGCTATCCATGTCCCGAAAGCGACAGCAGTACTTCATATATCAGCGAACATGTGCTTGATAAAGACTTTAAAGCGGCTCAGTTGTAAAGTACCGTTTGACCTTGAAAAGCATGACTAGCTTTTGAGCAGCAAATTTTGCCAAGCACTCGATATAACGACCAAAGTTGAATGACAAGTCCAAACCAAATAACTAGCTCCAGTATTAACTCTTATCAAAAAAGACAACACAATAACTTTTATTAAACATAATATAGATACAGAATATGACCTTAGTGCTTTGTTCGCATGGGTTTTCGATTTTTGACAATTTTCATTGACACCTATTTTCGAAGCTCAAATCGTACCAATTGAGACCCTTTTGTGCGAATACCGCTCGTAGAGGGGTCCAATTTGCGAGGTATAACCGTTTTGTTCGACGGTGACACTTCGATGGAGTTGAAGAGTTGATACGCCATTACCTTCACTTCGCAGAGGGCAAATCTTGAGCCTGTAAGATAAACGTTTAAATTCTATTAAAGTTAAAAATTATAATCTATACCGTCCAACTTCTTTTAGAACTCGTAAAACCTTCATGTATAAAATTATTTTATATTAACGAAAACAACAATCACGTCTACACAATTTTCTAAGAAACATCTAAACATGCACGCATGCTATTAAACTTGTAGTCACGCCGACTACCACTTTTCTAGTTACCCACAACCGTTGTGTTATCAAAACCTCTATAAAATATGTAAATTATTACTTTACCAGATCTTCTCGACCAGATAGTTCGTACTTTTTTGAGTTTATATTGGTTGCACATTCTACGTAAAATTACATAGCGCTAGAGCGTAACATACGCGCTAAAAGATCTTCAGTAGGAATATTGAAAGGCACCTGTGGTTCGGCAAGACAAAATGATATGACTACAAGTTTAATAGCATTTGAAGTTAAAGTACCCAAGGAGAGAATCTCACCGATACAATTCCTGGGTCCAAGACCAAACGGTATGTAGGTGAAGGGTTGGATTTTGTGTTTGTTCTCTTCAGAGAACCTCTCTGGGTCGAACTTGTCCGGGTTTGGATAGTATTTCGGGTCACGGTGGATTGCCCACAAGGGGATCTGGATACCTTCGCCTTTGCGGATCTAAAAGGATAAAATTATAGATTAAGAACAGATATATTTCACTCGTATACATAAATTTCAGCCAGTTTCCTAACTTTACAATAAAAAATATACAAGCAAGAAGCGGCGCGAGCTGGCTGTTTTATTGCTAGGCATATTTTAGTGTACTAAATGAAGTTGTATTTAAATCCACTCCCCAATGTTCCAATTAGATTGGAGACGTTACGAAGCAGGGTAGGATGACAGAGATTTTATGGTTACGAAGCCAAGCAGCATTGGGCCAGCGGTATAGATAATCCTCTAAATCCGCTCTTTAGATGTGATCCTTATCCAGTACTGAGAAATATGGCTTAATGATGATGAACGGTGACGGGAGCAGTAATAATTTATTTGGAAAAAGTGTAAGAGGCTGCTTGACCATTGAATTGTTCCGAATCACGTGCAGTTATGGAACAGGGGCAGGTTTGATTGCAGAGATATATTTTTGATCCACCAGCGTGATGATAGGCACACTGGCGTTAAGTACGCGGTATCATGGTATTTATATAAATGTATGTTTATCCAAAGTTGCGTCATTTGTTTCATTAAGAATTGTTTTCCTTGATTTGCTGGGACATTCTTATTTGAAAACTTGAATTATTTTTGTGATTTGTAATGTGTACCATTTAAAATTTAATCAGCAGCGACCTATGTGTTAGTTTAAAATGCGTGTGAAAATGTTCCAAATGGTCCACACAAACTACATATTTTATGTTGGCAAAAGTGCAGCTATTTTATTTCTTGTTTTTTTTATGGGAGTTACGACTTCTGAGTGAGTCAAAGTCAAGATATGCTGTCGATTTCCAGTACGTACATTTTGATTAACCATTAAATAAGGACAGTTTACGTTTGAACACTTACAATGTAATCTTCAGTAGCTGTGTCATTAGGTTTGCCGAGGTTGTAATCTTTGGTACAGTGTCTGTCCAGACCAACGACAGCCGGCCATAACCTCAATGTTTCTGGAAAAAAAAATCATTTCAAGATATTCGAAATATGATATGGTCATTTATGATTGACGCATCAAGTTAAGATCTTATTTGTTTTTCAATTTCAGCTCATCTACGGTAAACTGTGGTTTTGAAGTACAATCAACATGTTTTCGTATTTCTGCTTGTACAGGGCATACTACCGCTGCATTTGCAGAAGGAAGCTTTAGGTATTTGGCTACTAATTGTTGGAATAACATTTCTCCTTTTATCCATAGTGTGATTTTCGTCCAATTAAAAGTTACTGTTACTGTTTCATAATTTGTGGATTTGTAATATTTGTCCACTTGAAATCATATTTGTCCACTTGAATCATCTCGATGCTTCGACATTAAACGCCATATTAGTGTTGTAATCTATTGTATTTAACACATCCACTATTTAGATGGTTTAATAAGCTTTAAAGCTAAGGTCTAAAATCTTATCTTGTCTTATTTTATCTACTTTTATTTTACTTCTGTTAAAGTGAGTCCAGAAACTTTTCTTTTACTAAACAACTGATACAACATTACGGGAAGTACGAGAAATTTTCAAAATCAGATTTTTTAAATCGTCAACTAAATTTGTTTGTTGTAATAATAAAATTGTATGGTTTCAAACTACTTAAAACTAAATCTATACAATCTTTTGAAGAAGAGCCTTACCTAGAACTTAAGGGAGATTAACATTTGGTTTTGGTTATACTGATGCTATTACAAATAATCGAAAGACAGTTCTTCTTCATACCCTTACCTGATACCACCATATCCATATAAACCATATTCTGTACAGAATTATAGTCAAATTTCCCGTTGTTCTTGACTTCATTCTCTCTGATTTCCTGGTACAATTTATCTTGCACATCAGGGTTGATAGCCAGCTCGTACACTAGAGACGTCATGATAGAAGATACAGTCTCAAAGCCAGCTACGAAGAAGAGCGTGGCTTGAGCGCACAGGTCATCGTCGGACCATACTGCGGAAATAATAAATAATTAGTTTAAAAAAATACACGCTAAAATTTAAATCTGCCTCATAACTAACGTAAACGACATTTTTAGCGAAATTGGGTTATTAACATATGTATCTGGAAGCGAAACGGGATCTACAGCACACTCTAATCGATTGTTTATTATCTTTAGTTTCATTGTCATAATCAGCTCTTAATTAATATATTTTTAGGAGACACTAATACTTTAGGTGCCCATACCGAAGTGCAAATTCGTGAGTTATATAACAAGGAGAGCAGAAATGTAATAAAGCCATTGTGTCATAAAACAATATTATATAATACTATATTGACATAGATAGGTGTTCTGACGCCAAATGCGTTAATGCCGTGACAGAAGTTGTTTCCAATTGGTTCCCTTGATGATCCTTTCCTCCACCAATTGCCAAAAATGTGTTATCAATACTAGCAACACAATTCCAATATTAAAACAATGCAAGTACCTATTTTGATTTGACATACCTACCTCTATTGACTTGCTTCAGGCCAACGGATGACTCCTCTACAGTGGCGAAACCGGCGTCTGCGTCGTGAGTTGATTTCTCATCATGGGTTAGTTTACCTGAAAAGTAAAACATAATTACGTTCCAATGTGGTAGATTATAACATCTCACGTTATTTACATGTTTACATTACATTACAGTATGAATATAGCTCCTTGTGAAAGAGTTCGTGACACTCATTGACTTACAATTATATGGACGTCGGGTCCGTGCTAAAAAGTGTCCGCACTTGTAAGGCGCTAAAATCGTATACAGAGCGCCAAACTCCGCTTTAGTCTTCATTTGTTCTACTGACAGCGCGATACTGCGATGAAATTACAATTTAAATTTCGAATAGGTTGACTTGGGACATTTTTTTCGTGGTTTTTGTATTAGACCCGTCGTCCATTTATTTGTAAGTCAATGGTGACACTACAAGTTTCATGGACAGGCGTGTAACGTACCACCAGGCACACGACTTGGTCGTTCAATCACTTGGCGTCATAAAAAAAATTACAGTTTCTGCGGCTTGATGGAATTATGTATGTACAGTATCAAGAAATCTTCAAGAAATTCGGATGTGTGATTCGGCATTGTCTATTTCTTTCAAATACACTGTTTTGTCATGTCACGTCTGCCAGCTGTGGGGGAAATTGAAGGGGGCCTCCATTTTCACAAACTTCACCGATAATACAAACCCGTTACGACAAACCACATTCAAAGGCATGATATGTAATTTGATCGCATAATCTAACCGATTCTATTACGTATATACCGATATACACATATATCGATAGCGCATTCGATTTTGTAGATTTTTTATTGTACTTTTTACTACGACTATTGTTAAAGAAGTTTTACAATGAAAATTAAACGTCATGTTTGGAAGAGTAAAAATGTATACATAGGTCATTTTATAATTCTTCGTGAGTTATTAGCACCACCCATTTACAGTTTTCGCTTTAACTAACAATAAAGCATTTATTAAATACCAGCTCACAGGCTGGTTAAATTATTAGTTAAAAAAAAGGTGGCGTCTTTAAGATGGCTTTCCACGGTCCGTTATTTTATAAATTTCCTCGCACGGACGACGGCCACCGACAGCCAGACACCGGCCTAGCCCTTTCATATTAATAACCAATCACAGAATGACTACCTGTCGCCACAGACTGGCCCCGCCCAGTTTTCGCTATGTATTGAACCCACAACACCACGCTGCGGCCGCGTCTGCGAACGACCGTTTGTGCACGATTGCGAACTCATCAGTACGTAATAAGTAAAGTCAAGAACTGTGGGATACTCAACCAGGCTGTAGATTCGCCCATCTGGACTCGGTCCCACAATTAGAATATTTACTTTCTTATGAGCACCTGATGAGTATGCCAGAGCAATAAAATTAGTTCTGAGGGCAGAACTCAAAGTAATTTAGAAAAAGAATATCACTTTACTAAATTAACAAACCCAGAAAACAAAAAGGATAAGCCAATTTAGAAAAACAAATGTTGCTGAACGAGCTGAACAAGCGGAGAATGAAAATGTTACCCTTTTTAGTTTCCATTAGCAGATGTATCATGTCAGGCCGCTTAATCTGTTTGAGCTCCCTATTCTGCATCGTCTCCATCACCAGCGACCTGAAGAAGTCTTGCACCGACTTTGAGAACATAGACCATTTGAATATCTAAAAATAGGATAAAATATGTTTTGTAATATTCTCCGTACAGAGTACTAAAAAAACCGACCTCAAAAGTACGTGGAATTACGTCTATTTGCTAAGTTTTATTGAAATATCCCCTAGTTCGCCACTATACAGGACTTGACACTGGATAATAATAAACGGTTCTCACTACTCAAAGTATATTGAGAGAAAAACGCCTTGAATTGGAGAAATAGCAAAATCAACCATTAAAATAATTGCTCCTAAATTAAAAATACAATAAAAACAAAAAACATACAGTCGAATTGAGAACCTTCTCCTTTTTTGAAGTCGATTAAAAAATAGGTTTATTCGTAAATTATTAATAACCTCGCAGGACTATATTACTTACTTACATCATAAACAATAACTTTTGTATTATGGCGTTTAACAAAACATAATAAATTTACCAAAAATAAACTTTTAAGTGTACGCTGTACGATCTGACACTTTTTAGATCTGTATTTAATAAGTTTATACATGCAAGTGAATAACCCGCGCTCTCCGGCGTTTTACACAGAATTATCATCCTTTAGAGCATTGGTTTAGAGCGATCTATTTAAATAGCTTTATTTTTGTACGGAAATAAATATTGATGATTAAAAGTCATGAAACATAAATAGTTATTTACGATGTTAGTAGTATCGTCCTACGAGGTTGTTAGTACTTTACAAAGAACCCTGTAATTGATGACGCACAAGTCGTGCGCCTGATGGTAAGCTCGCGTGCCACTCAGAGTTTTAAATTGCAAAGACCTGAGGGGCACTGCCAATGCGACCTTCAGAAACAGGTAAGGTGACAGTTGCTTCCTTGGACGAGCTTTTTCAAGAGTAGCTCTACTGCTACTAAATGTATGTTAATAGACCAGCAAGCCGCCTAACGGACCGATCCACGTAATGGAAAGTGATGGTAATATTAACCTACAGTTAATGGTGATGCTGAGGCAGTGGATTTAACATTAAAAGACGAGCCGGCCTTAGGACAGAAGATCTAAAATCACGTCTCTTCGGGATTACTCTCCTTCCTCCATCTAAGCTTTTAGCTTTAAATAGGTGCTTTACAAGTATCTTTACAAAATTCTGGTTTATTTGATTAAAATCTTTGCTATTATGCGACTTATATAAAAATGTAATATGCGTCACAAAATCAACATTGAATGAATAAATTTCTTGATAACATATGGGAGAACTTCTTGAACTTCATTTTGTGACGACCAAGTCACAGACGTCATTACAAGAACACAATAACGAAGAACATCAAAGGTACTCACTCTAGATATCGTCGGTAAAGTATTTGAAAGTAAAAACACGAGTATCTGACGGTAACCAAAGCCGGAAGCACTTTTTCCCATTGCGTAAAACTGACTGTTTTCGTCCTTGTAAGAATTCACCTTTAGGCCAAATGCACAAGAGGCTATCACGTCATTCGCGTATCTGCTCGTTAGGTCTTTCACATCAACGTCCAGGTAACCCTCTGCAAACACAAGGAACTATAAAAATACTGATATTATCATAAATTACTAACAGTTAACTAATATTATGAAAAGGTTCAAGTGCTTTGAGATATGAAATCGTACATGACACTGCGGATCTTTAGCTAGTAATAAATACTATAGTCTAAAAAAATCATTATGCGTTGCAGCGCAACAACGAAAGAAAAAACGTATCGAAAAACGTTCTTAGGGTTTCGTGATAGGTACACATTTGAAAAAAAATTACTTTTTTGGGTTCTAAATCATGTACATTTGTGTTTTCAAACAAATCGGGCCCTTTACAGGTAAAATAGTCATACATATTTAGTAACGTTTTGTTGAAGCGCCAGTCATTTGACACTGAAGAAAAATTCAAAAACCTTCACGACAAAATGATAAATGTCCAAAATCCACTTACGTTTAGACTCCTTGATTTTCTTCTGAAGTGAGAGGAATAATTGATCACCAACCTCCACCATTAGTGGCAGCATCATTTTCATTTTGGAGCTGGTGAAAGCAGGGCTGAGAGTCGACCGCATGTCCTTCCATTCCTGACCTGTTGATCACGTGTTGTAAAATTGATGATGGTATTTTTTCATATTTTTGTTCGACACCAAAAGCAGTTAGCGTCCTAACCTTTGAGTTACCCTTAAATCCGTTACTTTCCGATGTAACGGCATTTAAGGTTTCCTCTACAACTGCCAGCTCACCTACCAAGTCCAGACAAGCTTGATATTTGTGTTTCAATTATAGAAAATGATAATTTTGCTCTTCCGTTTTTAAAAGAAGTGTATATTTGGGAAGATATTTAATGTGGTCCATATTCATACCAGCATTACACACATTAGATACCTGTTAAAGATAAAATACTCCTCCCAAACATGGGGTCCGACTCTTCATTGACAAAATTATTGTGGTCGAGGAAGTGCTCGTAGTCCTTGACACCAATTTTCTTGATTAGCTCGACATCTCTCACCAGCAGACGCGGCGTCAGGAATTGGAACCCGCCGTAGAACCTAACATAATAATTGAATATAGCAGTCACATCGTTTTATCTATTTATCGAAAAGTAATTTTAGTAACTTTTGTAAGTGAAGACAAATCAGTAGATAGTATTATAATATGTAGCATTATAATAAGCAGCATTATAATATATACTACTATTAAGAAATCCATAATTAACAAATAAATGTATATTATTCTTCACATGTGCAACTTTACTTCTAAAACACGACACGAATTTAAATAAATTACATCTTCAAATAGGAAATGAAACTATTTTTCCGGATTTAAATCGCGTATATTTGTTTTTTCAAACAAAATGACGTTTCGGGCCCTTTACAGGTCCCATGGTCACGGTTGACTGAGGTGGTACAGTCTTCAACCAGTTAATAAAAACAAATATACGCGATTTAAATCCGCAAAAATAGTTTCATTTCCTATGTGTAACAATCGCGAAAACCTAAGAACTCGATATACATCTTCAAATGTTAAAGTCTGCGCCAAAATAATTTGAACTCTCAAACTAACCAATAATTGAACGCCATACCATTCAAATAATAGAAAGAGATCTGTGATAGTCATTTTTTTTGATAATATTAAGTGATGGGACTAACAAGTCGTGCGCCTGATGGTAAGCTTCACGCCTGTCCATAACAATTGCAGTGCCACTCAGAGCTTTATATCGGAAAGCTCTAAGTCACCCTGAGACATAAGTTGACCAAGTCCCATAAGCCTGTAATTTCACCAGCAGCCTTACCCTTCAAAACCGGAACACAGTAATGCTGACATCACTGCTTGGCGGCAGAAATAGGTAAGAGGGCAGTACTTCCCTTGACGAACTCTCACAAGGAGCTCTACGAAAAATCACTTATGTACATTAAAATGGACGTTATTTGGGATAGGTAGGTAGAGGTATATTTATAAAAATTTTGAATTTTTTTGTTGGCATTTTTCTAAATATTCCGAGAAATTGGTGGCTGCAGCAACTCCTCGCTAAGTTTAGATAAACATAATCTACCTTACTACATATCCCAAATAATGTCAATTTTTAATCTACTAAAGTGATTTCTCGAATCGAAAAAATCTGGGACAAAAAATGTAGTCGCAAGGGAGTCTCCACTTACTGTCTCTATTCTTCGAGGTTCAGGTAAATATACTCTATTTATCTAACCTATTCCGATCGCTGGTTTATGATAAATAAATGAACATACAAAAAAATTTTCGATCCGGCTGGAACCGAACTAGCTTAAGCTGAAAAACAAAGATCTGCATCAAGCATATAGAGAAAATCTGCAGACTCGTCCCGAGAGTGGTAGCCACGGTTTGGCAAAGTCGCTGGTTCGAGTCCAGTCCAGTCCAGTCCACAAAGAAATTTTTCTTAGTGTTATTGTTCGATTTTTCCATCAATAATAGCAACAAACTAGAGGAGTATTTTCCCAAAAAAATGTAAGAATGTCATCGTTGTAAAAGTATCATGATAACTCAATAAAATAAACAATCAAATTTATTATTTTAACAACACGGAGTTTTTAATTCAGCAAAGCGGGAACCCACATTAATTTGACAGTCTATCTTAGCCATCAGATTGTCTCACTATAACTGCACAGAACGAGCACAGAAGTTGAAATGTAGAAATACGATACGTCACGATCTTGACGCATGGACGCGGAAAATATTACCAATTGAATAACTTTGCTTATAGAAGAAAGAAAGGGCTGGATCGAGGTCTTTGCCCAAGAACGGGACACCTTACAGGCTTATAGAAAAACGCGGTACCCGCCGTTTACACACTCAGCACGACACTGGTTATACGCAACGCATTAATGATTTTAAACAAAACTATAAAAACTTTAACAAGGACTCACATTTTTTTAGTATCTTTATACATTAGGTTATTTACATGTTCCAATAACGGTGAATTCTTAATTATGTTGCTCGGTATGAAATGACAAAGCTACTGTTGTTCAAACTTTTAAACTATTGGATGTTCGTGGTAAACATTTTGAAAAACAAAAATGTCCATAGTTTAAAAATTGGTAATTTCAAAAAAAGACTAAACATCACATTTATTCTGGCCGGTGGCTGTATATCAATAGAAACGACAATATCCTAAATGATGAAAGAATGAATATAACCAGATTGATAGAAAATATGTTATGTTTTAATTCAAAATGTATAATAAGGTCGAATACATTGCACATTGGGAAAACTAGGAATTCACGAATATATCCGAAAGCTGTTGTCGCGAAATATATATTGAAGTGTTATTCGTTTATGTATTTATGACAACGAAATAAGAAACTTTATTGTCATTGTTTTAGGTAAAAACCTTAGAATAATAACGCATAGATTAGTAGCATAGAATAGTTTCATATCAAACAAACTGTCACAAGTGAGGCAAAAATCAAATTCATGTAGGCTAGTTTTAGTAGTAGGTTAATTCTCGGTTTTAGTGAATATTTATATAAAAATACAAGTTGAAAAGCGTTACTTCCTTGTGGAATGTGATGTATCTATTTTACGTTTGTCTGACGTATTTTTACACTCATTTACCGCATATTTCGTCATTTTTAGCTAAAATTCTGGAGCTGTTCGCGGTGCAAGTTGACCTTGAGCACTGAAGGCCCGCCCGCTCGTGTGGGCCCATTGGGCGCGCTTCAATTTGCCTCACTTAGCGTGTGCGGACTAGGTTTCTATGCGTTATTATTCTAAGGTAAAAACATTATTACAAATAAAATATATGATACAAATATTCTAAGCACCGTGTACTTTACCTTGTTAGTTTATTAACTGTGTACTTACCTCTGATCAGGAAATTCTTTGTAAATTCTTACAATTTGTTCACTAATATGCTCTCGCTGTAAAACAATACTAAACGAATTTCCGAAAGGCGGGATTATTCTGGGTGTTTTCACACCCCGCCTTTTAAAGAAGCTGTAAACTTGCCGAAAGTACAAAAGCACTGCCGCCGCGAGGCAACCCAGCCATATCCAGACCAGCATCTGGGAAAATACTCTAGATTAATTTGAAATTATTTAAAGTGAAAATGGAATGGTTTCTATTGTACCACATTCACATGGAGTATACATTAGACTATCCACAAAAAATTCGTGAAAACATCATCTTCATTTGTTATTCAACTTTTTGAATTGTAAATTGAAAATCAAAACAAGTTCTTTGGTATTGCTATTGCATTTACAAAAACTTTTTGATTGTAAGTCCAGAACAATCCAATAAAACCCTATGATGCTACTTTTGTTTACTAAATCAAATTCACAACTTATCCAAGATTACCAAAAACTGTCGGTTTAAAATCATCAGACGCACAAAAATCCTTAATGGCATTAAATCCCTTGTGTTGTGCAATAAAGGTTAAGAAATAATACGATTATCAAAAACAACCAGAGAAAAAATTACCTTCCTGGTTTAAATACACTGAATTCAAATAGTTCAAAGTATTATATAACAAAGTTTGGTCACTACTACACATCGACGTGTGGCTTGTAGAGAGGTGGACGGGTGATCAGAAGGAACGCCAAAATGTTACTAACTTCGAACCAAGGAGAACCGCTTAATAAGTAAAAGAGGCTCGACTGAGCGTATTTATCCGGGAGATACAAAATTATTATTGCTGTATATTGATAATACAATCTATTTTATTTCTGATATCAATCTAAATGGACATTGGAATTATCTGCATGCGAAAATAAATGTTGGTGAACAAAATACAGTCAAGGCAGCTTATGACTGTACATTGGTTAACAAACTTTTTTGTCTCGTAGACCACGTGTAAATTATTTCTGTTTTGCGTATAGCGCCCATCTTTTTTTTATATTTTATTTTTTTTACTCAGTGCAACATACTTTGGTAAATTAAGCACTAGAAAAAAAAATTAAAAAATTAAGAACATTTATAAAAAAAACACATGCTAAATTTCATACATTAATCTGAACGAACAAATTAAACTCCATGCCTTATTTCTTGTGAAATGTTTACCTCATAGGTAATTTATGTCTACTTGCATACCTTATCTGCATAATGTGGATTATTCCACTTATGAAATGCCAAAATTTTTGTAACGATCTTCCTAAACGGGTTCCTCTCTCGATGAGAGACGGGACGAACAAGTCGTGCGCCTGATGGGAAGCTGCACGCCTGTTCATAACAGTTGCAGTGCTATTCAGAGCTTTATATCTCAAAGATCTGAGGGGCTCAGCTACTGCGTCACCTTGAGACATAAGTTGACAAGTCCCATGTGCTTGTAATTTCATCAACTACTATGCATACTTTAAGAGTCATCGGTCTAGAAGACCAATAATTGTATTAGTGGATATTATCAATTTCTGATCTTCTGTACTAGATACTATCAGACAACATATACGACGCACAGGGTTATCAAATGTACTCTGAGTACACATGATTAGCATAGACCTAAAGCCAATCATTAAATCCAGAGACCTGAAATAACGTTCAGAAATTTTGTTCTGAAGTCAGTTCAGGTAAAAACATCTGATCTTTGAGTACTTGGTACTTGGTACTTGGTGCAACGGGCTGGTATCCGCAACTCGACGACAAAGTGCCTATTTTGCGTGTGGTGGGTACAGGGTCCTACTCGTGCCACCCAAGCTCCTCCAGCAGCCTCCTTGGTTTGCTGAAACCTTCGGGGAGCGACCTTGGCACTCCAAGGTATTTTGCTCTGTAGTTGGCCACGCCGGAGCACTGAAGTAGGATGTGCGCAGCCGTTTCCTCCCCCTCCATGCACGCTCTGCATAGAGGGCTGTCTGTGATACCTAAATTGAAAAGGTGTTTATGTATGGACCATGACCCGTTAGGGCGGCAGTTAGAGTGCGAAGCTCTTGCCTTTTAAGTTTAATTAGTATTCGAGATAGATTGGCATTGAGCGTTGGGAGTGCTTCCCTCGCCTGTCTACAAACCGTAAGGGTGTGGTCTTTGAGTATTACGAATATCTAACAACGTTCAAATTATAGTTCGTTTCAATCCGTTTAAAACAAAAAGTAAACAAACAAGTCACTGGCCCGACCATAGACAATTTAGTGATGGCCAATTTTACTACCAACTACAAATCAATTAATTAATTAATTGAAATAATCATTTTGTGAAATTGAGTCATACTAGCGGTTTTTGTTAAAGCATATGTAAAATTTCCGAAATTTTAACTTTAAATCCTTCCTTCAAATCCTTACACTTAGATACTCGTTCGATGGCAATTGAAATTTTCGATTTACTAATCGATTACAAAACTTTAATTGAATGAACTGAATGTTTTTTCCTGTACAGCGCTATGCAGCCAGAGACTATTCACACATCTTTAATAAAAAAATAACCTCACTTTTTGACTATCATTTTTCAAATACGTTTTTACGATGTCATTCAATTTGAATGAAAAAAATATTGTTGGAAAAAGCGATGAGATACCAAATCAAAATTTTCGAAATATACGTAAAATTGTTACTTATTTGATTTATTGGCTGGTTAGTTTAGAAATTCATCCGAGCAGTTTTGTTTACATTTTGTTTAAAATTTATTGGAACTGACTGTAGAATATACGTTATTTCTAGCCCAAAATATATATATAGATTAAAGATAACAAACAATTAGATATATTTAATTCTAAGTGGCACGTATTTAAAAAGTCCAGTTAAAGTATAAAAATATTTTATGTGTTTGTACTAACATAAATTTTGTAAAATTATAATTAATTAACAATAACTTTTCTAAACGTGCCATACACGCTCCTGGTTGGCATTTAGTAGCAGTAGAACTCCATGTGAAAGAATTCGTCCAGTGAAGTACTGCCACCTTGCCTATTTCTGCCGCCAAGCAGTAATGTCAGCATTACTGTGTGCATCTTACCAGCACAAGCTGGTTATTTCTTTCCCTGCAATGACAAGCTTATGCTATATCTGACGCCTATATTTCGTAATAATGTTTAATTTAGACGTCTATTGTCATTCATTTTAATAGCGTCTCGGAAAGTAAGATGATAGAGAAAGGAAAACGCGTGACAGAAAAGTTTATAATAGGGACACATGTACGACGGAGCTCATGAAAAAGAAAAAAATGCAAACGGATCTTATAGCGGTTTTAGTGGATATTGTGGAGAACAACTCATACAGACTTTAATACATATATATATATATATATATATATACACTACTACTGACAAGAGAGTGAATGTTTTGAGTAGGTACTATACTAGGAAATGAAACTATTTTTCCGGATTTAAATCGCGTATATTTGTTTTTTCAAACAAATGTCCCATGGTCACGGTTGACTGAGGTGGTACATTCTTCAACCAGTTATGTCTAATATTGATGCAAATCTTAAAAATTAATAATAAATTGAACTTAATAAAAATTCATTCAATAAATTAATTTGTAAAACTTAATGTAGCGTAAATTGGAATGTTTTCTTAGTAAAATTAAAAATAAGATATTTAACTAATAACTATTGTAACTATAGTGAAAACATAGGGTGGTTTGCATCAATATTAGACATAACTGGTTGAAGACTGTACCACCTCAGTCAACCGTGACCATGGGACCTGTAAAGGACCCGAAACGTCGATTTGTTTGAAAAAACAAATATACGCGATTTAAATCCGGAAAAATAGTTTCATTTCCTATGTGTAACAATCGCGAAAACCTAAGAACTCGATAGGTACTATAATATTGGGTTTTTTAGGCAACAGTATTAGGTTTCATAAAAGAGCATACCAATAACGTTTTCCTTACATTGCAAAGCAATGCTGACACGCCACTGTGTTATCATAATCATTGAGTCTAATTAGATAAAAATAGATCTTAAGATCTTTTGCATGATAACAATGATGTATGTATTCAATCTATCTAAAAAATTATATGAATTTTGACATTTTGTTTATTGTACACAATGATTGCGCAAAAAAACGAATAATAAAGTAATCTTAACATCTTTTGCATGATAACAATGACTACGTGTTTAATGTATCCAAGACAATATTTAGAGATTGATTTACATTAAGATACCAACTTTAACAATTACCTTGTTCTACACAACGATTGCGCAAAATTTTTGTAATGTTCTCTTCTCCTATTGTTGACATTTTATTTTATTTAAAAAATTCACATTACAGATAAACGTAAACTAAACTTGAGTTCAGGAACAGAAGGACAAAATATTTTCTTTTTTTTTATTAATGGCTTTGCATTGGCATTTAACCAATGAAAGTGTGGGAAAGCAGAATTACAGATTATGGAAGAAATACGAAATTTGGATAAAAAAGGATATGGTGGGTTGGATAAGTGGCTAGCTATTATGTATCGGTATATGTATTAAAGCTTGATATATTATTTTCGAAAAATACAGTCAGTACATTATAAACATCTTTGTTACATGAATACAATAAACTTGTTTTGAAGGTGGGGAATGGGACACTGATGGAAAGTATCGTGGACAATTGAGGAGTAGGAAAAGAAGATATGATTTAGGTCCCCATAGGCCCCGCATGAGCATGCAGGATCAGCTACAATTTTTTATAATTGTTAATACAAAGATCGAACACTCAGAAAAAATTCATTTGATCCAGCCGGATTCGAACCTACGTCTTTTAGCTTACCGTGCCTGACGCTATACCAACTAAGCCACGGAACGATCCAGCGGACCTCACGAATTTTTCTATGTGCTTGCGTCGTGTCTTTGTATTTGGTTTTCCAACGACTTTTTAGTCGTAGCGCCATCCATGAGAAATTTATGAAAGATTTCTCACCCAGTTAGTACCTTTACAGCTACCAGTCCTGGCGAGAGATGTCGCTATTCGCTGTATTTTAAATTTTTATTTAGAAGCGTAACGCTTCGTGCGAATTCTTGGAATATCCACGATATAGGGGTGGAACCCCAGCCTACACCTGGTCCCCCGGTGATGGAAAAGGGAAGGCGGAATTAATTCGTGCAATTCCCTCGGTACAGCTGAAGCAACTGTCCTGATGTAAGGTAACGCCTCATCCTGGAAGGAATGCTAAGCCTTTTGGCTGCATTTTTGGCCATGGATCATATGTATCTGCCGAAGTTCAAATTGGACGACAGGTCCATTCCAAATAACTGGAGACAGTCAGCTATCAGTACAGATTTATTACGAAAAGTTGGAGTCAGGTCAAAGGGACTCCGTTTTGTAGCGAATAGATACGCTTGCGTTTTAGTAGCGTTAAATTTGACAACATTGGCATCATCCCAATCGGTGACAGCATCAAGTGTCGAATCCTAACGACTAACCATGGACTCTCGACAACACTGGATTTCCCCTCCACTGACATTTGCATTGGTCAAGTACAGCAAATGTACCTGGAATTAACATATCATTGATATGCAGCAAAAAGAGAGTTGCAGACAGTACGGAACCCTGAGGAACTCTGAGCCTCTATCGCCCGATGTTCGGAAGAGTAGCCTTCCAAGACCACTCAAATAGAACGTTCCCTCAAGAAATCCGAGATCCAATTAAAAAGGTCAGTGAGAAGCCCATAGGAAGGAAACTTGCTTAAAAGGCTTGGTGCCAAAGCCTGTCAAAGGCTTTAGAAATGTCCAAAAACACTGCAAGTGCTTCTCCTTGCTACTGTATAGCCTCGCTCCATATGTGACAGGCATACACAAGAAAATCCCCAGTAGATCGCCCTCGTCGGAATCCGTTCTGGCGATCACTGAGGAGATCGTTGTCTTCAAGGTACGACCTTGAAGAGTTGTTAAGTACACGTTCCATAGTCTTGCAGAGTATGGAAGGGACTGAGATAGGTCTATAGTTGACAGGGTCAGCTCTGTTCCTTTTTTAGGCACAGGTTGCACGTTTACAAGCTTCCACGACCTGGGAACTATACCAGTCTCAAGTGAAACGTAAAACAAGCGTGTGAGGACAGGAAACAACTCTGGTGCTCAGTTACGCAAGACTATTGCTGGGATACCATCTGGCCTGCTAGCTTTAATCACGTCTGAATTTCTCAGAGTACTAAATCTTAGTTTTAATTCTAAACAGGTGCCCTGCAGTTGTCACGTGACTACGTCGGAGCTTACAAATAATGGAGGTAGTTTTTTTTACTAAACCATGGCTTGCGAGGGATAGACTCTTGAATCAAGCGGACGTGCTTCCCTTTGAAGATATCTATCATCCAGCATCTATTCCATGCCTCGAATAATCGTTTCGGTAGGTTTACTAGATCATGGTTATAGTTCGCGTAAGAATCAATGTCTCCATCTCGAATAGCTTCGTTTGCCAGCCTGTCAGCTTTCTCATTGCCAGGGATGACCGCATGGCTTGGAATCCAGCAAAAGCGACGGCGTAGGCCTTCGACGAGCATTGGAAGAGGAGATTTCTGGTTTCAAAAATAACAGGGGCTTGTTTATGGCTTTTAAAGGAAAACCGCGTTACAGATATTACTGCTTTTGACAGTCTCATTATAATCACATTTTCAATGACTTTCAGTACGCCGAAGCATTCACCTGTTTAGACCGAGGACTCTGAAGATAATTTAACTTTTTGAATTATTTTGTATTGTGAATGGTAGATTCTCAAGCCAACACAAGAGCCATATGCTATGAGGCATCTGTGTAGACTACATCTACAGCTTCAATGTTCTTAAACTTCTAAAAGCTTTTCACAAGTCAGGGTTCCTCTTTATGTCAACAATAACTGAAAGAGCTTACTTCCCCAGCAAGATGGTGGAATTTATTCAATAGAGGATGGTGTTTTATTTGTAAACTACGATAGACGAACCTATTACTTAGATATCGTCTTCTTAAATTAAGAGGTGGATTGCAGCATTCACCTTGTAGGCATAGTATTATGCTGGATTTCATTAAGAAGACATCAAATGAAAGTTTTAAAAAGGGTTAGGGAAGAAAGAAATTGAAGTATAAAAGAGGGTAAATGTTTGGACATTTGTTACATTATGACGAATATGTGAGAATTATAATTGAGGGGGAATAGAGGAAAAAGAAAGAGGGAAAAACCAAGAACGGCGTACAGTGAGCAAATAAAGAAGAACATCAAAGTGAGCATCTATATGGAGCTGGCTATGAACCGCGAGGAGTGGAGGAAGCTACACTGACTAGAGCCTGACTCTTACATAGGATATGGTAGTAAAAAACATATTCACATTATAAAAAATATTCACACACTATTCCTATTAAGAGTGACGTAACACTCGATATAACGCCCTCCAAGTTTTTGATGCACCTATGCTCTTTTCTAGATTTCCATGTTTACCTTTATTTTCAAGGAGTCATATTATATAACTTATCCCAAAAGCAACTTTGTATGTATTAACGTTCTGAATACGGCGATCAGTGCAAAATGTTACACTAAGGTACGATACATGTACCGTGCGCCTACGCAGATTTGATACTCATTTACGATTATTAATTATTTACATTTTTTTAATTACGCAACACACTTCTCGAGTGGAGATTTGCATTTGTTTTTTATATATGATCCAAATAAAGCCAAGTGTTCACTAGGCAACAAAAGTTGCCCGTTACGTACGTTAAAATTTGTTTAGCAAACATCCATACTGTATCATCTAGCGACATAAGAGCGTGCAACACAAGATGATGCATCATAAATATTGTACAGCAAAATAAACTCATTAAAAAACTTTCTTTAAAAAGTTCGCATTAAGCAACAAAAAACAATACTTCGGTTGTGTCTGGCAGTGAAAGACAGCGCAATTAATTAATACAGAATTTATTTCGTTTACATAGTTATAATAATAAAGAACGACGTACGAAAAATTGGGAAAAAATGTGTGACCGGTGCAACCTATAGTGCAATTTGGATACACTACAACTTCCAATAGGTTTTTAGTAAATAACTAAAACACTCAAGTACAATGAAACATTTTATTAATTGAACATGATGTACATTCTTAAGTAGACAACTACCATGAGACTCAGACATATTAGCTAAACTAACGGATAACTCCGAGTTTCCGTCGAGTTATCGCCGCGGAAGCTCATGATTAGGGATGACGAGCGAAAATTCGGCTTAAATACGTTAGTTATCCATTAGTTTACTGAATATCAGCTCAAATGACAATCTTCGCTTTGTGGCTGGTAGGGAGACTGCCCAATCATGCTTCATTGCATGATCCGCCTTTAATTTGAGATAGGTAGATCCTGATGGGACTACATGCATAATTATGTAACTAGTACTAGTATAAGATTATGGACTGCATCTGTCTGAAATAAATGAATTTTGTTTTGATTTAATATGATATTTATTGGCTAAATGAATAATGGAATTAATCAAAAACTGATTAATTAGTTAAGTAGTTGAAAATAAAAGAATGACAGAATTCCGAGAGACGCTTACTTTATTAAACTAGACACGTAATACATAATCAACTTAAACAAAGAATCACGAAGGCACCGTTAATCGCCGTTAGCCGGCAGTTATTTTTTCTTTCTTTTTTTTGCACACACTCATAGCCTCATCGCGGGTGCCATGGACACACATAAACAACCACAAATTACACCCAAACGCACGTGAGAAATACACGTAGGCTATACAAATATTTCACCCGGGACCTCTGCGTGGCAGTACAGTATGGTAACAGTTCGGCCAAGGAGGCAGTAATGGAAGCAGTTAGTGAGTCAGTCATACCCACCAAACCTACAGCAAGGAATATCATAACAAAAGGGATAATAACAAAAATTTGTGAGTTATGGTACTCGTATATAATATAACACTCTCTTCTATCACATGGCAGAATAAATGATAAGACTATGAAAGTAATCTTACACGCATTTATTAAAAATTAAAATCTTTGTTCAGTCAAAAGAAAAAAAAACGAAACAAAAAAAAAGAAGAAACGAAACAAAAGAAACGAAAAAAGATACGACTGTATGAAAATAACTATACCACAATTTACAGATATTGACGTTGAGGTTAGTGTGCACACGCAAACACTGGGTTCTATAAACAAAATAATGTGTAACTTCAAATTATGGTTCAAACAAGACCACGCTGCAATTCGCATGGATTTCCGATGTTTCACAATTTTCGTTAACAATCTTTGCGAGAATGAAATCTGACCCAATGGCCCCCCTTTATGCGAGCGTTGAACGAAGAAGGGTCCAACCTAGCAGGTATAGACGTTCGCTCTGATGGCGATACTTTGACGCAGTTTAGAAGCTGATATGCCATTACTTTTACTTCGCAGAGGGCGAATCTTGAAC